CCGGACATGTCCGGGGAAACCCAGACGGATGGTAACCCTATCTCTACCCCTCACCCATTCCCATCTGAACACATGCAGTACCTCCTCTTTACGCTTAGCTTCTAGTTCCTCAAGTCGTTTTAAGCGCTCTTCCTCCTCTCTCTTTGCCCTTTCTTCCTCCTCTTTCATCTTAGCCAAGGCTTCTTGCATAGCTTTAACTGTAGCTTTACTGGGACCTTTTTTCTTCTCTTTCTCTTCTTTCTCAACCTTCTTTTTCTTCTTGTCTTTTTTCTTTTTGTCCCCCTCATTATCATCAGCTACATAAGAAAAAGACATATTCAGGGGTGTCAGAAATTCAATTTTAAAGGACTCCAGATAGTTAAGTAGGGTTTTAAATACTACATTTTGCTTAATTCCAGATCTGAGAAACATTGATGATTCTGATTTCATACTGAAAAAGAAAAAAAATTGACTCTTAAATCATAGCGATAAAACTCGAAAATGTTCATATAATAGATGTCTAAGAATTATCAAGTGGTAAAAAATTATGTTTGCACTACAGAGCTATAAATATATAACAGTGAGAATTCACCATGTGACATTTGCTTTCTATATACCTGGACAATGTACAGGTCAGGAAAAATGCCTATGGGTGAACCACATACAAAAAATAAAATATATATAGCTACTAAGTATCTTTAGTATTATTGACTTAGGAAAAAGCTGCAATCACAACCACTGGTTTGCCAGGGGTTTGGCTCACTAATCATTAAAGGAAAAAAGTCTGATTGCATCAAATATTACTCTCCTAAAATTACCAACCTTCTGCTGCTGTGGGAGCCTCTCCCTTTTCCCCTGCGGCAGCAGCTGGAATAGCTTCAGGAGACGCTGCCTCGTCAGTTCTCTTTGGAACCTCCTTTGGTTTTACCTGTTCTTTACCAGCTTCCAACTCTTCCTTTTCCTTCTGTTTTCTCAGTTTGGCTTTTTCCTCCTCACGTTTTTTTCTCTCACGCTCTTTTTTTTCTGCCTTCTTCTGAGCCACTGTTTTTATTTTGAATGAAGGCTCCTCTTCCTCATCCCCACTTTCAGCATTAGGAGCGGGCTTTCCCTTTTGATTTTTCTTTTGACCCTTTTTAGATTGGGAGAAATCGTCCGATTCATCAGCACTCTCACCTGAGGACACTGCTCGTGTACTCTCTTTACTTTTCTTAATGTTAGCTTCATCCTCTTCTGAAAGGTCCAGCTTTTTATTTGATTTTTGAGTTCTTCCTTTGCCTTTCTTAAGCAATATCTCACAATCATCATCATCACTGCCAGAGTGAGTTTCAGTTTTTGGTTTCTGAGTCTTTTTAGATTTTGTATCCTTACCCTCCATTTCTTCACTGTCATCATCGTCAAAACTGATTTTTTTACTCTTCCCTCTCTTTTTTTTGTCCTGTTTTGAGAAGCTGATTTCTTGGTCGTCATTCTCTACTGTCTGGTAATCAAACACATATGTTTCATTTTTTCATGGAAAATTAAATGTTTTCAAATGCAAAATTCAGAGATCATATAGGAGTCCTCTTATTGAGGCTAGAGTTTCAGTAGTAGTAAAAGGATACCTGAACTAACTAAAGACAGACCACAATAAAGAACGCTCTACTTAATCAGTCACATTTTTCTAATGCTGATCTGTGTGCAAAAGTGGTATAAGCTAAAAGTTAGCATTGTTTGCATCTAATGCAGAAGAGTAGTTAAAAGCAATCGTTACTTTAAAAATATTAGTTTTCATTTAGGTCCTCCTACTATACAGCAGCACCAAAAATTATGTAATCTGCGAGTAAAGATTCGACTACCCAAAAACAGCCCCTTTCAAAACGCTTTCTATTTGTCGATAACCCCTCAACTTTTACCTTTTCTGAAGCAGGTTCTCGGTCAACCTTCCCTCCATGTGCCTCTACAGACAGTTCTTCCAGCTCCTTTAGGATATCATCTTCACTAAAGAAAGAAGTTAAAATCATGTAAGTATTTGTTTATTTGTAATTGAATACAATAATGAAAGACAAAATTATTTACTCAAATTCTTGTTTCTTCTTTTCTTTTTTCTTTTTGCCTTTAGATTTTTGTGGTTCCTGCTCCTTGGCAGCACCTGCACCCTCTATTTCAGCAGCAAGAGCATCAAGGTCAATATCATCTTTGGCACTAAACAGAAAGATAAAACAGTTTTACTAAAGCTCAAATTGAAAAGGAAGTCACCAAGGTGAGTACGTTTAACAATTTCCACAGGCATTTCAGAATGAAACGTAAATTTTATATATTTTTCATCTTACAGTAGATTTAAAATAAGACATTTAGACTCCCATCCATCTTAAAATTAATGATGTGGGAACAGCTTTTGTAGTGCAGTTCCACAAGCCAATTAAAATTTCCCTAAATGTACATATCAGGCTGTGCTACAATGCAAAGGCACTGCATCCCAATGAATATCATTGTGCAATGTCAAAATGTGAAGATTGAGTTTAGCAATCCCAAACAATAGTAACTTCAATTCTCTTCTCCCTTCCTGAGGAGATATATACACACACACACAAAATATCGGGGGGGGGGAATCTGTATCATGCATGTTCATTTATGCAACGAACCACTGTAGTTTTTTAAAGAAACAGAAATTCTGTAAAAAAGATGTATAATAACCAAATTCCAAAACTGTTAGAAGAAAAAGGAGCAGGTTGACCCAAAGGTGGATATGAGTACAGGCTTCTTTATTGCGATACTTGTTCCTCTTGACCCAATTGTCAAGTAAGCACTGGATTAGTTACATTACATTCTTTTTATTTAAGTTAGAATGTAAACGCTTACATTCGCTACAACACCCCAAAAACCCTTATTAAGTAATAGAAACTCCCATACTATGATTATACCCACCCCCATTGACTGATTACAGCATTACACGTATTATACACACATCTTTACCTTGAAAATACATGTCTTTGCAGTAATTTGTTGCTACAAATTCCCTTAATCTGCAGTTCTCAGGGGAGGGAGGAAGGGGCCATGACCTAGGGCTCACTTATGTAGCTGGGAAAGAAAGGGAGGAGGAGATAATACTTCTTTACCCAAAAGGTATCCTTTAGATCCTCACATTTCTTATGCAGCTGCAACACTTATCAATTCTTAACAAGGAGAAGGGAGGGGAAAGGGGTAACACTTTATCTATTAAGGGAAGGAATAGTGCATACTTGTACCTACTCTCTGATACCATGCCAGCACACCAACGGTTTCCATGTCTTTACTTAACCCTTACATATCCCAACACTAATTTCTAACAAATTCAAAAGAAAGCCTACCCAAAGCTATATACACTACTTACCATGAAGGAAAAAGTCACTATCAGAGAAGTAAATTTGTTAGTCTCTAAGGTGCCACAAGTCCTCCTGTTCTTCTTTTATCAGAGAAGTAGTAAGGGTGACAATAGCATACCATGCCACCCTTACTTCTCCGCTTCTGCCAGCGGCGGCACTGCCTTCAGACTCAGAGCTGGGCATCCAGATAGCAGCCGCTGCTGCTCTTCAGCCACCCAGCAAGTTTTTTTGTTTTTTT